TTTACAACAGCTTCGAACGCGGCTCAGCCAATCAGAATCAAGGACCGGAACTCTCCGTTTTATAATGTAAAATTTTACGAAAGCTTCAAGTGCAGTTAATTATATGTCATGCTATACGTGCAAACAGACGACGGTGGTGTTGAAGCTATGCTCGTTTATTTGCCGTTAAACGGTTGAGCACTGCCGTGTGTGTATCCTGTCGCAAAATGCGGCGAAAAGTCCTACTCGACGGTAATAATGTGATTAAGGTGTTTACATGTCTATACTGCACTTCAGTAACGCAACTAAAATAGGAATACTCCACATGTCTTAATTCGATTTGTGTTTACTTCAAGTATGACTTTAGCTGGATTAAGGTAATCAAAAATCTCTGTTTACATTGTAGATTTGTTTACATGGTAGATTCTTAATCAGAGTATTGTCTTAATCGTGTTAAAATTGGAATATTGTTGTCCATGTAAACGTACTGACTGACGGTTTCTTTTCAGAAAAGAGGATGAGAGGAAGAAAAGTGATACTGAAGGTGATTCAGTCAATAAAGATGTAAGTGTCTCTCATTCTCCAGCTCTCTCTCTGTCTGTCTCTCTGTAGTTAACTCTTCTGTCCGTCTCTGCAGGTGAAGCCCGCGGGTCTGAAGGCAGTGCGACGGCCGTCTGATCTGGAGGAGCAGCGCAGGAAGAAGACAGACAGCGAGGAGAAACTCCCTGACAAAAACCGCATTCATTCCTTCATCCTGGACCTGGAGCTGGGAACAGAGGAACGCCGGAAAACCATTCGGAAAGACTCGCTTTCCAAAGAAAAAGAGCGCAAAGAGAAGGAGAAGGAGCGTGGCGTCCCTGACGAACGGCTCAAGCACAAACTCAAGACGGAGAGCAGGAAGAGCGGAGACGCCGCGGCCGACGAGAAAGACGGAGGGACTGCGAAAGGAGCAGCTGACGAGAAGAAGGGGTCAAAGTTCAAGCCAGACAGGAAGAGTTCCGTGTCTTCCCGAGAAGGCAAGACGAGTGTGTCTGAAGCTGCGGATGAAGGGAACCTGAAGAAAGGAAAGACGGCTGTGAACGAGAAGGAGAAACCGAAGCTGCTCCGGCGTCTGGACTCCACCGGCTCCTCAGAGGAGAGGTCAGAGGTCGAGACGGGTTCAGAGGTCAGCCGGAAGAAAGACAAGCAGCCTAAAGAGATTCCCAAGAAGTCAAAGAGTCACCCGGAGGCTAAAGCGGGAGAGAAGCCCAAGATGCGGATGGATAGAAAGGATTCGTCTGCGGACAAGCCTCATCTGCAGAAATCCGGCTCGGAAACCGAAGGACCGAAGGTCAAATCCCTAACGGAGAAACACAAGTCTAAATCCCAGAACCCCAAATCAGAGAAAAAAATCGAAGCCAAGACTAAACCAGGAACTGCAGAACAGAAAAAAGACGACAAGAAAACCTCAGAGGAGAAAACTAAGGACGCAAAGGTGAAGAAAACGAGTGAGAAGAAGGTGCAGAAAGATTCAGACAGGAAGTTGGGAGGGAAGGAGAACCCGCCGGAAACCGTCTCCAGTACCACACCTTTACCTGACGACCCTTACGCCGCCCTGAGCGACGTCACTCCCGAATCCGAGGATGAGGAGGCGGAGCTAACAGAGCCCCGCCCACTGTCTGCAGAAGCCGACGCCCTCTTGAGCCTGATGGACGTCCGCACCTCACAGCAAGAAACGGAGGCCGATCGGAAGATGAAGGAAGCGGCGCTAGCGCTGCTCTCCATGGATCCGGATATCGCACACTCCTCGGATCTCACAGCCGCAGATTCTCCGATCGCAGTGGAGACGCTTCCTGTAGGCATCGAGGACACAGGAAGTGTGTTGGAATGCTCTGAGACCGAGTCCGCTGTAATTGCTACATCTGCAGCGGAGCCCATGGAGGCGGAGCCTCTCGGGTCACAGGAAGTGACATCAGAGGTAAACACATGATGTCGTACACTAGCAGTCAAAAGTTTTTGAACTAAGAGTACGATTTTTTTTTTTTTTTTTTTAAGAAGTCTCTTCTGCTCACCAAGCCTGCATTTATTTGATCCAAAAAAAACAGCAAAGCAGAAATATTGAGAAATATTTTTACTATTTAAAGTAACTGCTTCCTATTTGAGTATCTGTTAAACTGTCATTTATTTCTGTGATGTGCAGCTGTATTTTCAGCATCATTACTCCAGTCTTCAGTGTCACATGATCTTCAGAAATCATTCTAATATGCTGATTTGCTGCTCGAGAAACATTTCTGATTATTATTGATTCTGAACTTTGTTCATCAAAGAAACCTGAAAAAATTATACTCCGCTGTTTTCAACATAATAATGATAAATGTTTCTTGAGCAGTAAATCAGAATATTAGAATGATTTCTGAAGGATCATGTGACTGGAGTAATGATGCTAAAGAAATCACAGGAATAAATTAAGTTTTAAAATATATTCAAATAGAAAACGGTTGTTTTAAATAGTAACAATATTTGAAAATTTTACTGCTTTTGCTGTACTTTGAATCAAATAAATGCAGGCTTGGTGAGCAGAAGAGACTTCTTTAAAAATCTTACTGTTCAAAAACTTTTGACTGTAATGTAACTTCTGCAGTCTCAGATTATTAGTCTCCTATGAAATGAGCAAGTTAACTGCACAGAATCACAGATCACCTTGCTGGTTTGAAATGCTGTCTGAAATACGTCTTGCTGGAGTGCGCTAAAATACTCTTGCGACATCCTGTTGATCACAGTTGTTAGACGCAGACAGCTCAGCTGCTTTAAATCTGCTTTTTATATCCATTGTTTTCTGTAATGTGTTTATGCTTTTCTTTTTAGATTGGTGATGAGCAGATGGATGAGAGAGAGACACAAATGCGTACAGCAGACGCAGCTGAATCTACGCAGACTCTCACTGCAGACGCAGCTGAATCTACACCTGCGACCAATGCAGACGCAGCTCAGCCCACGCAGACCCTCACAGCAGATGCTACAGAGTTTGTGCAGCCTCTCACTGTAGACTCAGATGAGTCAACTCAGACCTTCACTGCAGACACAGCTGAATCCATGCAGACCTTCACTACAGATGCTGCCGAGACAGTGCAGACCCTTACTGCAGACATGACTGAGTCACCTGCGCAGACCATCACTGAAGATGCAGCTGAACCCACGCCAGCGGTCATTCCAGACGCAGCCGATCCTGCGCAGACCCTCACAAAACAGACTGAAACTGATGAGCCTGTGCAGACCCTCACCACAGACACAGCTGAGACTGCGCAAACCCTCTCCACAGATGCAGCTGAGTCTGCGCAGACTCTCACTGTAGACGTAAAGGACATGGATACAAATGAGTCTCTGCAAACCCTCACAGCAGACACAGCTGAGCCTTCGCAGACCCTCACTGCAGACACAGCTGAGCCTGTGCAGACCCTCACCACAGATACAGCAGAGTCTGCACAGACCCTCACCACAGATACAGCAGTGCCTGCGCAGACCCTCACTGCAGACGTAAAGGACACGGATACAGCTGACTCTGCGCAGACCCTTACCACAGACGCAGCTGAGCCTGTGCAGACCCTCACTGCAGATACAGATGAGTCTGCACAGACCCTCACCACAGATACAGCAGACCCTGCGCAGACCCACTCTGCAGATACAGATGAGTCTGCGCAGACCCTCACCACAGATACAGCAGAGCCTGCGCAGACCCTCACCACAGATACAGCAGCGCCTGCGCAGACTCTCACTGCAGATACAGATGAGTCTGCGCAGACCCTCACCACAGATATAGCAGACCCTGCGCAGACCCACTCTGCAGATACAGATGAGTCTGTGCAGACCCTCACCACAGATACAGCAGAGCCTGCGCAGACCCTTACCGCAGATACAGATGAGTCTGCGCAGACCCTCACAGCAGACACAGCTGAGACTGCGCAAACCCTCACCACAGATGCAGCTGAGTCTGCGCAGACTCTCACTGTAGACGTAAAGAACATGCATACAGATGAGTCTGTGCAGACCCTCACCACAGATACAGCAGAGCCTGCGCAGACCCTCTCTGCAGATACAGCTGAGTCTGCGCAGACCCTCTGCTCAGATACAGTGGAGCCTGCGCAGACGGACTCTACAGACACAGGTTAGTGATGATGAGGAGTTATGTGTTTCTGATGGTGAGAGTGTGATTGTGTGGAGCACGTCTAAGTATAACCTGTGTGTCTGATGCAGGCGCTGCATCTATCTCAGACGAGCAGGAACAGAAGTCATCAGATGCCTCTGAGACGGTAATGAATCGGAATCCTTTCATCTGCAGATTTTCAACAGAAATCCTGTGCATGTCACTAATGATGTTGTCTGATCAGGTGGAGCAGACGGAGAGCGGCGCGCGGAGAGGACGAGCATCCGCTCAGAGGACAGGTGTGTATGTGTGTCAGGGTGCTTGAAGTGAAATTTTATTTTTTTTAAATGTAGGTGCTTAATTTATGTAAAAATACCCTTTTGTTGAGTATCCTTGTTAACATGGTCGATTATGTCTTAAGTGAATGTAAACAGTTGAGAAAGAAGTCAGATATGTGTCAATATATTGGATCTGTACATTTGGTCTTAAAGTGACAGCAACCTAATAAACCTGCTGCTGTCTGTGTCCAAACAACAGAAGACAAAGAGAAAATCACTCACTGCTCATGACTGAATAACGTTTGTAATTTTAACAAAGATTAATGTAAACTTTGACATTTACATTACATTTTAGTGGTCGACTGATATATCGCCAAGGCCGATATCTGGCCTTTTTCAAATATCGGCATCGGCCGATAAGTTTTTCTGTTTGGCCGATGTGTTCGAGGTGGAACTTTTATTTTGACGGCGCCGAGAATGGCTGCGGCAGCGCCTGAGCACACACCGCTCACAATTCTCCCTCTTGTTCGCTGTTGTCATTCAGTTCTGTCTAATACGGATATAAGTCTATCTAATAATCAGATAGAGCTGTTTAACAAAGGAATTAAACTGTATACAAAAAAGTATTATAACGATTGCTTTAATATTATTAGTAATAGAAAGGCAAAAATTGTAATACTTTCTCGTTTGCCGTCAGCATTCCGCAAATACGCATTTATATAATTTAAACAAATCTTTGAATGACTAATGAACATTTAATTTCACAAACCTTGCAGA